GATTTGCACTCATGTTGTTCGAACTTTTATTCCGCATTGATAAAAGTATAATTAATAATCGTAAAACACAGTCACATTTATTTGTAATTAAGATCGTTATGAATTTTCTTATAGTAAAAATACAGAGAAGGCTACGAAATATCCAAACGTACGGATTTCTTCTTCTGTCAAGTGACGATTGAGAATACTTGCTAAATATAGTTTGCGAAATTTATCAACTTCCGGGTCACGTAGCTATGGAATTTTTCATTCGTTTTAATAAGAGGAAACTTAGAATAATATTTAGACTTAATTAAATAAGCTCATTAATTACAAATAATTCAAAAGTCAAAAATTCTTAAATGCCCTATAAATTAGGATGAATGGTGTACAGTGGCGCCTGAATTGTGTGCGAATGGGACGATCCGGCAGTGCAGCCCTAGAGGTATTTGAACATAATGACATTGGCAATCATTGATGAGGCAGCTCAGTTGTCTAAGGCTAAGGGCTAAGGCTAAGGCCTCCGCCTTCACGCTTCTAGGGGGCTCATGCTTCTAGGGTCATCAAATTTCCAATATTGTTAGTGAATATTCAAAATGTATTTAGTTACTTTAAACTTTTATTTCAAGGAAAAAGCCTCATCAACAAGGTTGCCCAAGTATTTGTGAACATTTTTTTTTTTTCGATTTTCAAATTAATTCTATATTTTTGTTTTAGTTTTAACAAAATTCGTCAACATAAAAAAAAAAAAAAAAAAAAAAGAAGAAGAAGAAGGAGTGAAACAAGGATCTGGTGGAGGGCGCTAACTGTGTTATCTACGAGTTTTTTTGTTTTTTTTTACATTACAACTTTGGGTCTAATATAATATCCGGTGCTCCCGCCCTGTATTCACATTAGTTGTAGGGTCCATGCGACTGTTATGAAGTCCAAATAAACTTTTCAATTTACTGATTTTTGATTTTTTAAATGTAGGCCTATTTATTTATTTATTTTAAATTATTTTTTTCTTAATAAACTTTTACTTGTCTAATAAGACAAATCAGGTACCGTATTAATAAATATATCATGCTTGTTTGTTTTTTTTTAAATATATAGCCTACTATCTTCATTAGATAATTATGTAATTTCTTCACAGTAAAGGATTTTTACAAGCACAACTAGGTCACGGGAACCTAAATTTGCAGCTCGTATGTTGCTCGCCGACTAAGTGTAGGATGGTGGGACAATTGATTGAGATACGAGCCAAAATGCACCCTTGCATATTGAATTGATCATTTTTTTTTTTTTTTTTTTTTTTTTTGGGGAGAGCCTCACAGAGCCCATTCCCAAAAATCCCATTCCACGCTTTTTTCGGGAGCCTCCGGTGCCGTTGAGTTATGCTCCCTCCCCGATCAGAGCGACGGTAACGGTCCGCTTTTATCTCCAAAAGCAATAGATGTTTGTAGGCATAAATGAAATGATTTTCTGGAATTTCCAAAAAGAAATGTTTTATCCTTTAGTTTGGTATATTGTATACATAGTTGCCAAAATAATATCCCTCAGGGGTGTCTCAACAAGAATCCGTGCATTATTTTGCCCTGAGCCCCAGATGCTGTACAGTTAAGTCAGCCCCTGGGTCCACCCCGGGTCAGAGGCATAGCGATGGGGGGGGGGGGGGGGGCAGGGGTACCCGGGCGCCAGCTAGCTAGGGGCGCCAAAATGGGCTTTGCTATTATTTTATTTATGAA